ACTATATTTCCAAAATGGCAACGAAAAATACCATTCAGTTGGTTATTAAAATTGTTACAAACTATGTAACCGTTGTCAGTTTATTCAGCTTTGAGACGAGTCGTCTGCAGTTAGAAGGTTAATTAAGAAGCAATGATGACATTTTCCAGCTAAACTACTAAACTGTACCGCTGCAGTGATTACTGAACTATGCTGAGATTCTATTCCCAGTGTGTATCAACGATTCTAACGAAAAGTATCGCGGCTGGTTGGGCTTTCGTGCAGCAAGACTCAGGAGATTCGAATCGAAATACGGCGGAAACTTGGATGTGAGGTTTCAGCGTACGTCAATTCCACGATCTTTCTTCTTTTGTCTCGATCGACTTCTGCCGCAGTTGAATCGAAAGAACGAGCCACCACGCCGGATCTGGGCTTCGATAATCCTCACGGGATAAGAGACCCGGGGTTAAGAGTGAGCGGAGCATAGAGGGGGTTAACGCCTGATAAAAAGTCGCAACCTGAAGGGCCTTTGGGATGACTCGCCGTGGTGAGTTCACGGATTACGCTAATAAGAGAACCCCCACGGAATTTATACCGGCGCCGGATTAAAAGTTCAATTTCTGTTCGTGGCCCCGGCAAGACCGAAACGTCTATTCAATTACGATTAAAGGATTAACAAAACGCGCTAGGAGGCGGGTGTCTCTGCCAGGCGTTTTCTTTGTATTTTCTCCCCCCACTCCACTTCCTTCGTCTTCCCCTTTTCTTGCTTGGAAGCTAGAATACGCCTTTTCGAGGATCCTTGAGCGCTGCCGAGTCGACTAACTCAAGAGGGCATGATAATCCAACGAGGCTTTGACACTTGACTATCTAGAGGAATCTGTCACGGATTTTTGCCTGTTCCGCTGTACACTTCGTTGTGTCTCTTTCTTTTTTCATGTTTCTTTACTTTTGATTTGTTACTCTAACAAGGGAAGTTCGGTAACCCGGAAATTCCGATTTTTTTTAAACTTTGCAGATTTGTAGGGAACCTCAAGAGAATTATAACGCAACTTTTGTTTTTGGTTCAATTTTAGTTCTTCAGGGTGGAAACATCCCTTGAAGGTACAGAGGTGTTTCCATATTTCCCTGTATATCTTTAAAACTATCGTAGATATAAAAAAATGGTTAAATTGCATCGTTTTATAGAGCATAAAGAACCATTCAATTTTTATGAACTTTTACACCGTGACAACTTACTTACCGAGTAAGTAAAATCAAGTGAACCCATCGGCTTTCATCCGCAATTTATACGTAGTTGTCTCTTTCACAGAAGATTTATGAATTTCAGTAACGCATCCTAAATTTGGGAAATATTTCATCCAATAGCGACACACGTAGGTCATAAATCCTAACCGAACTGACACTTTCTGTTACAGAGTTCGAGAAAGGACTAGCACCACCTTGACGAACTTCGAACTACGAACCATGAACTTCGAAGTGCGACCGCCGACGTACTGAGCAACGGAGGATCTATCAATGATATGGCCACTAATGTGTTCGTAATAAATGGAGCATGCCCTATGCCTCGACTGAGTAATGCAATATTTGAAACTCAATATATTCTGAGCATTCATCCTTCAATATCACGCAACACTGACAAGGAGAGTATCCCAGGTGTCCGCCTCCGGTTGCTTTGGTTTTCAGATATGTTTTAGAAGACCGAAAAATAAAAGATACGTATTTTTTTATATAGACACGTTTTCATATTTAGGGGCTGAAACCACCCCTCAAAGTTTCGACCCGGAAGTACTATCTCGAAAACCAGAGGAGATACACAAGAACTTTCAATGGACGAGTTTCGTGTTTTTTTATGTACAATAATATGATGCTAACAAATTGTCAAAAATACAATTTGTTTATAACAAAGAAACTTTTACAACTTTATTTTACAACTTATTGAAATTTACACAATGACAAAATGTGACAACGATTTCATTCCAAATCCATTGGTATTTTTTTTTTAAATTGCCTTCTGTAGTCTCGCAGTTTTTTATTATTTATATCCCGTGCGCACGCCTACTGTTTCGGCTTTCGGTTGCTTTGGTTTTCCGAAAATATATTAATAATGGTCAATTTTTATTTCTCAAAAAAATGTCTTTTCTTTGTTTTTATAATTTATTTTACTTTTTAGGATATTTGAAATGTTGCCAATAAAGCGTAAATTGACCTTTGTATTCGTGTGAAGACATTCAGGTTATTTACACTTACAGATAGCAATTATATAAAGTTACTCTAAGGTATTTTCTGCAATGATTCTTCTATTATTTCTGCAGTCACATCCAAATACTTTGTTGGATGACTAATCTATTTACTCTGATTCACTTTATGAATAACTGCTACCGCGCTGCTTTCTCCCAAACAAGTTAGTCACTCTTATTTTCTCCAAAATCCGAATTCCTATTTACTCATCCTGTACAAAGGTCCACAAGCATCCCCAACCTACCACAGAGCCATAGTATATATTCTATTATATATAAGACCATATGCAATTTCACATATATTTTAATTCTTGTTCAGTCACTGATGCTTATTGTTATTGCTCCGTTACGAATAAAAATCTCTTGTTAAACTTTTATTTCAAAAATTTTGCTCACATTCCATCACCCAGAATTCAATAGCTTGACGTGTTCGCAGAATTGACTTTGCAACTACAGTTTCTATGAGTGAAAATTATTATTAATCCGATAAACGTGGTCAATTTGTTATTAGTAACATTTCAAACAATATACTAGATGGAGACTACTGTAACAAGGGAGGCAATACAATTGAAAGAATCTATACAGTAAATGTTGCTTGATAGCGTATTTGAATTTAATGAAATCGAAGTTTCGAAAGAGTTATCATTGGATTTTCTGGGTCAGTTTAAGGAATATGAAGTCGAAGCTATTGACGAAGATGATGAAAATGAAAATTGGTGTAAAGAAACATATCCAGGAGCTTGTTCACAGCGTGACGAATATGATGATGTTGAGTATAAGCGGAGAGCAGTAGCATTTTGGTAAGGCGGGAAAAAATGGAAATTTAATACAGTTCATCATAATTTTATACTTGTTTCTTCTGAACAACAATTACGACGATGGGCTCATCAAGTTGCAGCTGGAACAAACCAGACGAGAAAGATTAGCACAAATTTCCGAGTGTGTAATAAAAAATTTGAGGAAAGTTGCTGATGCTGGTTATATTTTGCATGAGAAAAATATTCGGCTATGAGCTTTGAAGACATACAAGGAGCAGGGTAATGATAACACGGTATTTAAAGCTTCAAAAATGGTTAGACAGTTATAAAAAAGCTAGACGCATTGTTTTACGAAAAATAACCAAATTTGTTACACGAAAAACAATGGAAGATGATGAAGTCTTAAAAGTCATAGCTACAAACTTTGTTATTGAACTGAAGCCTTTGATTGCTAAATGTGGACCTGAGAATATATACAATTCAGACCAGAGTGAATTTCAATTGGAAATACATTCTGGACGAACTTTAGGAGTAGAATGTCAAAAAAATGTAAAATGTTAAATCGACGAACGTATACGTGACTGCATCCAGTAAATTTCAATAAGTTGTAAAATAAAGTTCTAAGAAAATGTTTTGTTATAAAGCAATTGTATTTTTGACAATTTGTCAGCATCACATTTTTGTACATAAAATACCACGAAACTCGCCCATTGAAAATGTTCGTGTATCTGCTCTAGTTTTAGAAAGCTGGCTGGTATAAAAAAATACGCATTTCTTATTTCTTTGGTCTTCCAGAACATATCTGAAGACCAAAGCAATCGAAGGCGGACACCTGGGATACTCTCCTTGTGGGAGTACAATAGTTACAAAGTGTTGAACACAAACACGAAATTGCAAAGCAATGTTTTTAATTGGAAGAACATTGTAGAACTTACTTAACTGCTGCCGATGTTGACTGCGTCCATACCATTACGGAACTTCCGAACTTCACTTCGTCACTGAAGTGCACATCTCGAAGCCCTCTCGAGATACACGAGAGCGTTGTCAGCGGTTACATCGGTGAATTACACAGTTTCTGAAATGCTCTTGTAACAAGAGCCTATCGAGGACCGGTGACACGTTTTACTCGCAAGTGGTTCGTTTAAGAACCTCAGTTCCGAATTCCTTCATCAACCATTCAGGCCTGCTAAGCTCAAGGATCCGATCCTTTATTAATAGCCGAGCTTATAACGGTCCCCCCGAAAGCTTTATCAAGGATCAAGCTGCTGCGTATCTCCTCAAATAACGGAGGAAGGGAAAACGAGACAGCCTGAAATTCCAGGCCGTACGTTCCCGTGAGGAAGAGTTCCCTGGAAATAAGTTGTTACCGCCTACTGCCGCTGCATTATCGATGAAAAGCGCTAACGGACGAATCCGGGCAGCAACCAGTCTCCAATATCGACTTCCTTTCGAACTTTTGCCCATAACTTCCGAAATAACGATGTAAAAACGGTGAACCTTGGTGGGAAGAAGAAAACAACAATTTGTCTTTTCGATCGATCCAGTTGAACGATTTATTAATCTTCCAGGTCTAAGGCTGTTGATGACAGTCGGAGAAACTTCCCAGCAAAACGTTCTTGAGTGGAGCATTCCGTGTTAGCTCCCTAGCGTTCCGTTATCAAAGCAGCTGTGATTTAAAGTTTCATATCCATTTAATTATAAATAAATTTTCTTACACGATGATTTAAAGTTTCATATCCATTTAATTATAAATAAATTTTCTTACACGATCAGTTATAACGTGTTGTTGAAGACAGTTTCTGTGTATAATTAGAACAGAATACTTAACAAAATATCTTGAGGAACAGTTAGCCAAAAATAAATGTGTTATGAATCTTCTGTTTCCATCGTTGGACTGTTGATACCAAGAAACAACATTCAGACACCGTCACGTCTCGTCGACAAAAGATAAAGGACTGGGACGCTTGAGGGAAGCCGTAAAAGAGTAAAGATAAACTCGTTCTTACTTTTTTGCTGGGATGTCCCCATGACAAGAGGGAGGCACGTGGTGATGTCTTGTTGTTGCTGGTGCTGCGACGGCCTTGGCGGTGCCGGTTCCTCAAGTGCTGGTGCTGGGGGTGTTGTTACTGGTGCGACCGGGGGCAGTGTTGTCGTTAGCGGTGACGCCAATAACACAGGCGGCGGTGGACTTGGTATCGCTTCCGGTCTTTCGGCGATGCTATCGTTGGTTGTCGTCGCGGTGGCAATCACAACGGGCGAGTGGCTTCTGACGGAGGAGAGACTTCCAAAAACTTCGACGAACACTTCCGTGGAGCCTGACAGTAAAGTTACCTACAGTGGTCTGTGGAGGGTCTGCGTTGCCATAAGTAAGTAGCTTTCACTCGGCTTGAGTACCTACCCTTTAAGGAGTTTGATCAGTGTAACGGTGAAGAAAAGATTGAACATTTTTTTCGTGTGTTTCAGTACCTTATAGCAAAGGTGTTCAACTGCTCACGAGCATATCTTTCTCTGCGGAAATACCTCCACTATTGGGCTGAGGCTAACACGCTCGAGTGTCCAAGCCAATAGTCTTCCCGCCACGACTCAAGCAGCGCAAACTGAGAACTACAGTAAATCATCGATGAGAGTTCGAAGGCTCTGAGTATTCAGGCGTTATCCTCACCACTGGGCGCTTGATTGGTTCCACAGAGACCCACCCGCCTCAGTGGTGGGGATGACATCTGAACACGCGGTACCGAAGAGCCTTCGATTACTCATCGATGACTTACTGTATAGTGGCGATACCTCCGTAGGGAATGATTTCCTCGTGAGCAGCAGTTGGATATCTCTGGCTTATAGTCTTAACAACATGCCCCTGAAACGTTTCTCTGAAATTGCTAAAAATGTTTGTGGTAGTGTAGTGTACTTACTTAATAGTAGTAACCATTTCGACTTATTTTTAACTTATTTTCGAAACCATAATTTTCAAACTGGCGTGCAGGGTAACTGAAAAAGGTATCTAGCGACTTGACACTTTATTTCCCTATAGCCGACACAAGTTATTAGACGATGAACCTAAAAAATGAAAAAAGAACACATTATATATTTGTTGTTAGTGTGAAGTAGGTACAAAAAAATTCGAGATTTTGATACCTGAGTTTAAAAAGTTACTACTACTCTTGAATTTTCAATCTAGAATTTTGATGCTAGGTTCATCCTCCAACCACAAGTATACATTTGTCAAAATATGTGTTTATTCTTTTATTATTTGAGATGACTAGAAGGGCCGTCATTATGCACACCAATTGCGGCCATTTTTTTGCAGACTTGGATTTAAGCTACGCCACGCTGAAAATTTTACGTTTAAATTAGTAACAAAAAATGCTAATTATTAGTTTAATAATGCCTTAATAAATTCATAAAGTTTCAAAGGATTCAGTTAATTGAATTTTGCACAAATAATTCGGCTTCCTCTCAAAGTGTTACACTGGTCTGACCCCTTAAATTCGTATTTTAGGTCTTGAATAGGTCGGGTATTTCCTGGTGAAATTTTAACAGAGTAATTCCTAGCGTAGATATACAAGAAAACAAAGTTTGATTATATAAAATTTATTGAAACAGAATCAATAACGTTACAATATACCGCGTTAATTTTTTGAACAGACGAACCGAAGCTCGTCGTTTTTAGAATCTGACTTTTTTGAACAAATTAGTTTCGTTACAATAGAAAAGTTATTTGTTGATATGAAACTGAGAACAGACGGACAGCATGTCCGTATTAAGAGAATTAATAACACTTGGGTAATTAAATGTTTTAACCTTTCGTCATTGCGTCTCAAAACATTATAAAACATTCCTTATAATTATGGGAAGCAGCTTACGGCGTAATCGGCTTATAAAGTTACGGAAAAACAACAGTAACGGAAGTTGTAAAGATTATCTTAAAGTGGGACCAGTGAAACCATTTTATCGTCGTCCGAAACTCGAGCTGAATACAAATCATTGGGATGCAAATTTAAAACAAGTTGCTCTCGATTTGCCTATCGCGGAAAGCGAATTCCTACAACGTCTGTACTTTTTCTCCTGTGATAATTGTTTGGAGGCTCGATAAATTTGCAAATATCTTTCTTCGAGAAGTATTTTCCCATTTATCCACCGATCCTTTGGATATAAATGTGTTTTAAATGAAATAAGTTACAAAATTGATAATAAATCAAGCCACAGTTACACGTACATTACTATCAATAAAAAAAATCGTCTACAATTTCATTAATAATTTTACAAATAGTTCATCGAAATAATCCTCAGGTTTGGAAGGGAACCTGTTTCAAATCCTATTCATTCCTAAAAACATGGACAAAACGAATCCAATAAAATTGAATAAACTATCGTGAAAGATGTTCCATTGTCAATTTTCTGCCGTGTAATAGGTTAACAAGCCTGTTTCCTTTTCCAGACTGCTTCAATCTCCTCTCAAAGCCTTTTTAACTTTACTTTAATGCCACGAGACGGCATTACCAGGCACTTTTCCAGACCTCGCGATCTTGTAGTAACCGATCCGCTTATATCGCGTTCGTAAAGTGATATCGAAATAGATACGTCGACGAGAACAATAACGGAAATTGAAAAACCCACGGGGAAACGATTCGCGAGCGTTACCAGAAGATTGTTCGGGATCTTCGACGGAAGTGCACCTAAGCACTCCGACCAACGAAATCGCATCTAAAGTAATCTAATTTCGCGTCGTTCAAGCATTTTGCCCAGCTGGGGGACCGTGTCAAAGAGTAAAAGCCACGACCGCGGAGCGCACTCGTCAGTGCTCATTGACCAAAACGACCCACCACTTTGGCAGCCGGAAATGTCTCGCCTGGGTTTACACTCTTGATCAAAATCCAGTCGCGAAAGATTGTATGAATTCGGATTTTCTGTAACTTTCGTCGTCAGAGATTTTTCTTCTATTCATTTATCAGTCTTCGTTTATTTATATGGTCTCTCCCAAATATAAACGAACGTTTTAAAAACATAGAAAAATAGTAGCGGGATCTACTCGAAAATTGTATTATCGAGGAATCTATCCTTGATCAGTTTTTATGACATTTGGATCATTAGGGAGCGACTTTTAGCATCCAAAGCGACTTTTTGCGCGTCCCAAGCGTGTACTTTTTTGTACACGGGTTGATAAAGGGGCTTGAAACAAAGGGTAAATATTAAATTCTGTTTTGAACTTGATAACATATTTATCGAAACCCTTCAATTGATACAAAACGTGGGTGGCGATAATTGTTTAGCTCGTACACTAATTGACGGCTGGTTTAAACAGTTTAAGGCGAGTCGACATTAATCGACGACGATCAGCTAGGGTGGCTGGGAACAAAAATCATCGAAATAACATCGAGAAAGTGCGTGAAGCAATAAAAATTCAGACAAAATCTGCGGTATGATTGTTGGAAAATCAGTTGAGGTTATTAAAAGACACGAATTATTGCATTTTGGTACAGAATTTAAAACTTCGTAAGGTTAAGCTTTCACATTAACTGGTGACCAAAAATTAAATCGAGTGGATCGTTATAAAAATGTCCTTAAAACCGCTAGTGAAAACCTAAATTTCCTCAAATCTATTGTTACTGATTTACTTTTGGTTACTGGATAATTTTTTTTATTTCCACGGCTTAAAATAACCATGAAAGGAAAGCATCACAATAATATTCCAGTCTGCCATCATATATTTAGAAAATTACATATGCTTAATTAACGGAAGACATTTCATCTTAACAGAAGTTCAAGTTTCTTTGAACAATAAAAATGAATTTACTTCTGATGAAACAAGAACCCACAAGTGTCTGTAATACACGATTCTAGAGTACTTAAAGGCTCTTTTAAAGAACGCTCTACTGGAAAAGTGGAACCGTGAAAAGGAATGCTAATTGTTCGAACAATAAAAAATTACAGAAAATTGGCACACAACATACCACTCCGTTTATATAATTTTCATGGAGGCAATTTATACACTTTTGCCGACACTTTCATTTCTATTCACATAGATATTAATTTTCCGGAGATTTCGTCCTTTTTTAATCACTGTTTGGAACCCCAAGCAACATGTTGCCAAACTAATCGATTATAGCTTTGATAATTCAATGAACGGTATCTGCACGGTCATCGAGCTTATCCCGACAGATTGTTAAATTCTAATCTGCATAGAAACAACGTGTTTCATTTACGTTGGCACGCATCGTCGAAAATAGTTATTATGTCATAGACACATGATAATTTAGCATTACGGTTCAGTAAATATTGACGGAACGATCCCATCCTGTTTATTTGCTCACTGAATGAATTTCCTGAAATGAACCTGAATAACTTTATTTAATCATACGGAAAGCAAATACTTACAGAAAGAATTTCATCGACCTACCTATAAAATGTTACTGAATTCTTATTCCTTGTGTGCCTGATCCTGCGTTTCTTAGTACACTTTTTGAGAAAAACTGAAGATACATATCAGAAACAATGTTTCGTTATGTAATAATAATAAAATATTCAATAATGAACCTAAAATAAGTACTTAATAATAATACAAACATACGTAATAACTTAATAACAATAACATAAACATAATATAAAGAATTTGGTGCTTTATCCGAATTGGGGACAAAATATTGGGCATTCTATTTAAAAAACTGAACGGTGACTCTCATATCTCGATAAAAAATGAAAGTAAAAAAACACAAATTAGAGCACCGTTATACTCCCCTGTAAACCATGCAGTATTTGTTTCAACATTTTTTTTGTACAACAAATAACTTACGAGTTATTGGAGGTCGTCACATTACGAGACTCACCCTGTATATGCGCTTGACCAGTTCGAGGGAACCCCCACCCAGTGGTGGGGATGACTCCAGGACAATGAGCGTGTACCACCAGAGGAACAACTATCAGATAGACACTGTAGCTCGCAATGGACGTTGCTCCATTTTCGTTCTGTGGCGATAGTGTTTTCATACCCATTACGTGGTAGATTCTCGTCGCACATACACGCACATTCTGTAAACTTTTCAGGCCCGTTCCAATTTAAATACGAGAACGTTCGGAAAACAATGAACCCGGCAAGGACTTATGGGACAGTTCCATAACATTAAGCACATCTTACATAACAAATATGTACTTATATTTATTCTTATTATTGTGTCAAAAAAATTTCAGAAAACTACAGGAAGTATAATAAAGCCAGACACATTTCAAGTGACTTATGAAAATACACATAATGAACGTAACATGACTTAAGAAACGAAAAAGAATAAATTGGATGAATGTTAAGTACAAATACTAGATCTACTCCAACACTGATTAAATTTCCCTGAAAACACTTTTAGATTGGCTAATCTTA